GGTTCCTAATGGAACCTTTCTTCCTCATTTTCAGTTTGTATCTCAAGGACTGGTAACAGCAAAAGAAATGAACATGACAATGACAAAAACCCAAACCAAACAGCCTTTCAGCATCATTTTAACTCTCCAAACAGGAGACATAAGCAAATCAAAGCACAACTGGCACTGGTCATAGAGGAGCATTAGATTTTAGTGTGCCCAGGCTGTTGGCAGTGCAATGCAGTGCTTTGTCACCACACAGCTTTGCAGCTTGAGCTAACACTTTCTAAAAAGCCACTCCCAGTCTGCAGTGGACAATTCCAGGTAGAGGGATGGATGTTGAGTTTGGTATAGTGCCTGGTAGGACAAGGGGCTCCTGGAGAGTTGTACAGACAAAAGCCCATTACTGCTCTGAGTGTTACTCCAATTGCTTAAGTAAATCAACAAAGTCCACATAGCTCAATAGGATAAAAAAGAGGCCTTGAGAGAGAAATTTAGGTCTTCAATAAATATTTCTAAAACCTATTCTTCAACAAAACAGTTTTGTTCATAGAGAAAATTCGATGATTAACAAAAGAACACTGGATGAACTGTATTTGTCACTTATAAAAACACCTTCTCCTCTTGCTGTCCTGGCCAGAAGCTCTGAAATGGCCATAATATTGTAGTAAATATCTGAGCCTGAACAGTGATGCTATCAACAGGTGCAAGGACATGCTATGGGCAACCATGCAGTAAGACTTGCTAGACAGGAATATACACACCACCCATCTCTTATTGTGGGAGTTATACAGATAGAATTACATGTCATTTGCCCAGAGAATAAAATATAACACACAGTCTAATTCTCAGCATCATTAAATCCAAAAACCTATTATTAAAATTTACTTCTCCAAGTTGTTTGTAAGAAGTTTGATCAACAGCCTCAAGAAATGTAATTTTTTTTTCCTGCAAGGGTTTCCTAGTACTTAGCCTGCAGCTGTTAGCATTGGATTTCAAGACACACTGTACTAAACTGCATTAGGCATGTGAAAGGACTTTCATTCCTCATTAGCTGCGCATAAGAAAGGATTGTAACTTTTTAAAAGAACTAAGCAGCTTTATAAAAAACTTGAATTTTGCTCTAACAAAAATCATACTTGTTAAAACTTCTTTTTTATTCCCAGCTGAACTATGCTTCAACTCAAAGCAAATAAAGTCATCAGTTGACTCCATTCTATTAGAGGACAGCATTTAGAAAGGGAGAAGGGGGAAAAAAGAAATAAAAAAAGAGTCCAATAGGTCTTTGAACAGTGGTCCCTTGTCTGTCACATCAAGACATGGCTTCTACTTCACACACTATTGACCACGAAAAGCAATCTTGCGACTTTTGAAGCCCCATCACAAAAAAAGAAGTGCGAGAGAAAACTTTTCTTGAAATGTCAAGGATGGGGGTCTGCCTCCTCTCAACTCCTATGATTAATGACTTGTGGCCTTCTTGTGTAGAGGCTGCTAATTAGCTTCAGACTGATTAGGGCTGCAGAATGCAAAATTCAGCTTGATAAACCTGGACAGTCTCCATTCCCCACCTCAAACAAGCCTGTTGCAGAAACTCTGGCATCTAGTTTTGTGGTAGCAACATTCTCCTTGGAACTAATGTAATTCCAAGAGACTCTGGGCTTCACCTACTAGAAACTTGAGCTGCAGTGTTTTTCTGTATAATTAACTTTCAGTCCTGTCCTAGTTACCTGCCCTTCATCTAAATACTTGCTTCACACTTTGAATAAGCAGACATCATATACTAAAAATTTAGTTAAAAAGTAAAACAAAATAGCACAGGGATACTTTTAATCTTCCATTATCCCCTTATTAACAAATGAGAGCAAGTTCATTAAAATGCTTCTAAAAAGTTGCACATGGCCTTCTTCGATGTTCTTTATAGATGCATTTAAAAAGAGAGCAGAAAAGCGGCAGTTCCTAAATTGTTATTGCCTAACATTTTGACCACCTGCTTTACTGGAATACATGCTGAACCCTTTATTTGGTAATAATTGCTTGCCATAGCTATAGAGGTGGAAGTCTATAACGCAGGGAGTTTCAATCCCTTCTGCCATGACCCCCCCTCCCTCTCTCCGTCTTTGATTAATTCTGCTTGTTACATTGATCTTCACATAGAAAAGCATTACATTCTACTGACACAGGAAGGTTGCAAATACATATGCCAGACTTTTAACATTAACCTCATCAAACTGATGCACTACAACATAAGGCTGATTAGCTTAATAACTGATTACTCATCCTCTGGGCACTAGCAACCAAAATTAGAAACTTTAGAAGCTCATAAAACAAAGTAATATGAGCTTATTTTTTCAGATACCTACAGTTCTGAAAGGGAAGGGAAGAAAAAATAATGTTTCTTGGCTAGTACCAAAGAGGGAAGTTTCTTGGTTTGGGTGGGATGGATTGAAATGCTAATTTCCTCTTTACTGAATAACACCTAGATAAAAAGATCACGTAAATATCTGTGCACAAAGATATATTAATAATTGAATTAATTTTAATTTCACACATACATATACAAGTCTGAATATCTTCAGTACATGAGCTGCTTGAACTCAAGAGGCTTCCTTTTTCCTTCACTTTTTCCACCCATGACTCGCACTGCTCTACCCCCACAGGGCACCTGTTACACCAGGTGCTGCATATTGTGAAGTGAAGAGAACTTGCTCTGGATTTCTCAGAGCATCCTTCACTTTTTCCACCCATTACTCGCACTGCTCTACCCTCACAGGGCACCTGTTACACCAGGTGCTGCATATTGTGAAGTGAAGAGAAAGTCATACTTCAAAAGAGTAAGTTCCAGTATTGCAAAAATACTTCCACATGAGTAGGCAGCAGGCCTTGCCAAAGGGGAGAGTTTGCAGGGGTAGTGCTCAATTTATGATGAAAGGCAACAGGTGGCCATTGGAAATAGTAACTTAAGGGGCCATGAGATGACTGCGATAGACAATGCAGGGACAGGGCATCATCCACAGCCTCTTTCAGGTCCCCAACAGGAAGCCTAAGTTTATGCCTAACTTGTAGCATGCAAGCAACCTTTCTGAAGCCAGTAGTAACCAGATTGTTAAGTACTTGTGTGTCTATGCATTTATTTTCACTGTAATTATGCAGCATGTGCACTGTGTGGTGTAAACACTAACAGACCAACCTCAGCATTCTGTAAGGTAGCACAGTTCCTCCATCATCAATATATTGCTCAGGATCTGAGATTCAACTTATTGTTTATAAGCATTTTTCTATGCCTTACCCTGTTTCTTTTTTGCCTTGTTTTGCTTTCAGAAAGGCTCTCTGTAGTATCATAACTCACAATCTTTCTAGTCAAGACTTTGTTTATAAAACCTCTATTGTTCCAGAACAATGGAGTTGTGACCTGTTTGAAGGCAGGACTGCAATCAGGGCCCTCTCCGTACTTTCTCAGGGTGCACTTTATGACCAAGAGAATAGACCACACAACCCTATTGATGTCAACCAGGAGGAGAAAAATAGGCTCCCTCAATAAATCTCAACATAAATCTTCTTGCCCTATCTCACCATCTGTATTCACCTAAAGCACAAAATTAATAAGCAGAACAAGTATCCCCAAGCCTAAAAGATTGAAATACTGCTTGCGGACCAAAACAGATTTGTTTCATACTTAGGGCAGTTTTGAGGAATTCACAGGCATAGAAAGCAACAGGTGGAAACATAGCTTGGGCCAAGACAAAGTGAATGAGATTGACCCTAGCATCATGAATATGCTTCACTCTTCTGTGTCAGTTCCCTGCTATAAATTTCCTCAGTGGCAGGTTTGTGGCTTCTGTTGCTTTCTTATTACCAGTGACTTTGGTTTTCTAATTTTGCCTTCAATGTTACAGAACAATTATCCACACAACACAAGCACTAGCAGTGAGACAGGCACAGCTTTTTTCATTATAGGAAAATCCCACATTCTGTAGTTCTGGTTTTGAAGGTCAGGAAGGGCTGCTTAGAAGAGGTTGAGGATGACCATGTCTTTTTTGAAATATATTTCTAGCCACTCATCAGTGGCACTCAACCTCATTCAGATTTACACATTTTTTGTACATATGTTAAGAACATGAAGTAAGATAGAGAAATCTGCAGACAAAAAAAAAAAGAGAAGGGTTTTCCTTAACTTCAGCAGAAAAACAGCTTTCACGTGTTGCTTAGGTATATTCTAGACAGTTAAAACATGTGCATTCAATATAAATTTTCATTATCATTCATGAAAGAGCAAAACAAAAAAACAGAGCAAGTACTAAAACAAGTAAACAAATGGAGCCTCCAACTGAATTGCATAAGTGTTTGTGGGAAAACTGAAAGCACTTCATAGCAGTGCTACCTTTTTGTCCAGTGTCAATACATCTTCTAGCACAGCAGGGTTCCAGATTGTGACTAAGTCTTTCAAACAGTGCTGCATTGAGCAACAACAGTGTAAAGACAGCTAAAGCCAAGCTATGTCTAAATTCGAATTGTTATTTATGTTTTTAAGCATTCACTCCATTTTGACAGCAATAAAATCCTTCTATAATGTCTTCCATCTGAGCAGAGCATATCAAAGTGCTTTGCAACAAATTACTGGTTAAAATGTGTAAAAGAAATTTAATTGTTATAATGGAAGGCCAAAGATCTTAGTCAAGTCCTGCTAGAGGGAAAATTCTACTGTAAACTCATCAGTACTAAAAGCATGACAAAACCTGATTTTATCAAGTTATATTTCTGCTGAATCAAGACATATTTATCATATACAACCTTATATAACAAATTCCAGGCAACTTGTTATATTGCTGGTTAGAAAACACTTCAGTTTAAAATTATTGTTCAGGTACCATTAGTAAAATTGCACACTTATTAGTAATATAAGCTATCATACCACATATGTAGATCTGTATGTGCTGACCTGGTCGTACCTTCTCAATGACTAACTCCAGATGAGTGAAAAAATAAGTGGGGGGGGGAAACACCCCTGTGAAGCAAACACTCACCTTGGATGTTCTCAACAGAAGAGAAGGAGAGCAATCAGAGCTCCTTATGTGAGAGACACATGCAGGAGACCAGTTTAGGGGTGAAGTAAGGCAGGGGAATCCACTGCTGTTTCTCCAGGACTTGTGAAGATAAAAAGGAGTTGTCCATAGAGCACCTTCCATGAGGAATTAATTAATTTCTCTGTGTTGAAAATATAAGGGGGAAAAAAAAAAGAGCAACCTTAAAAAAAGCTCAGTTAAGATATCCCTTCACTGACTCCCTCCAGATAGGCAAACCTATTTAGAACATCCACAATCTATTCATGTAGTAGCACTGAAATTATTAAAAATGTGTAAAAATTTAACTACTGCTAGTAAAGCTAGAATAACTATGCTTTTCTCTAGCATAAATTATTTTACAAGGTACTATAAAGCAACCCTACCATGCACAGACAATGCCTTTGCTCCCAAGTAATATGCAAAACTCTTTGTTAATCCACCTCGCAGCTTTTATAGTCTGATGATTGGTTCAACAGCTGAGTATCAGCACCAAATCAATTCAGGTGTCCTTGTTAATACCTTCACTCACCGTGGCTACAGGGCATAGGCTGATTGCCTGAGTGCTGAAGGGATGACAACAACACCCAGCTGCCACTACTCCTATCAGCAGAGGACCAGGGGAAGGCTGTAAGGATAACTGGAGTTCAGGGGATGCTGCAGTACCATAGAAGAGGGTAAGGTAGGGTGGGACCAGGGGTACAGCTGCCCAGGCATCCCTGTGTCCACTGAGATACTGCACAGGAAATTAAGTGTGGCAGTTGAGAAGTGAAAATGCTTACATCTGTGTTAGAGATTGTGTGTCTGAAGCACAACACATCAGCAGGTGGCTGAGGAGTTGGAAGTAACAACCTGAGACATCAGACTGTAGAAGTGTTAGAGGAGGCTCGAGGGAAAAGAACTAGAGAACAGATCTGAGGATGTGAAGACCTGTGATAACAACTCAAAAAATATATTCGGGTTATGCATCTGTTTAACAAATTAAGATACCTGAAAATAGACTGTTTGAATACTTTGTAATAAGTCTAGAAGAGTGTAGTAGGGCCAACCAAGTCAGCATCAGAAATAATTATAGGTCTAACAGTGAGACCATCACAATCTACAGACACTCTTGAGGCAATAAGAATACAATGGTTTGGTTTGAAAGTGACCTTTAAGGTATTCCAGTTCTAAATCCTCTCCTGTGGACAGGGACAGCTTCCACTAAACCAGGCTGCTCAGAGCCCCATCCAACCTGATCTTGAATACTTCCAGGGATGGGGCATCCACAGCTTCTCCAGGCAACCTGTTTTAGATGTTCTGTGCTCTTAGACAAATTGTGTGTAAGCCTTTGAGCATACAATCTTTTGTTTGATGGCATGAAGGATCTAAAAATTGGTTACATGGGCAAACCTGGCCCCTTGGTGTTTTGTATATGATGCACAAAACTTTGAAGAAATATATTTCTTATTGCACAATATAAACCAGCTCTCCCAAGCTAGGTCATAACTGATTGAGGGACACCCAGAGCTTCTATTTCCACTTAATAACTAGGAAACTATTTTCAGCAATTTGTGTGTACTACAAAGCTACCCAAACCACAAACACTGTGCATTTTTAGATGCTGTATAAAAATTAGTGCCGTGGGATGTGTGTGGGAAATAACCAGTACTTAAAGTTGGTAATTAAAATTATTGATAATAGCCAAAAAAAAAAATCCAGTCTCCAAGCAAGTCATCATAATGTTTAATAATTGATTGTAATTGTAATAAATACTAATGAATTCATTTATAAAGTAATATAGCTTTATATGTTTATTCACTCTCCTAAGAAATATTTGTGTTGTGTTATGTCAACAATTTAATACACTAATATAATTTATAATTATGTATTATTACTTTCAGCACTTAATAAAAAGCAGTTGTTTCATATAAATACCAAAGCAATCTTCAGAGCACATCTGTGTCCCCAGCAAGCATTCAGTCTGGCTTGATTCCTTTTACCATCTGTGAGCCTGCAGGATGGAGCTGCACCAGGCAGCTGAATGTCCCAAAGACCAGAATGAGCAGGCCTGCAGGGAGGACCTTGCCCTAACCTGGGGTTTACCAGCATCCAGTCTATCTCCAGAGCCAAACATTTCCACTGGGAAGAGATTCAGTCACTCCTCAACAAGAAAATCATCTCTCCATACTGAGTTAGTAGCTCTGAATAATCTCTGCCACCCCTATACAATTTCCTACCTTTCTGAAATCTGTCCACATACTGCTTCACCTTCTAAGACAGCATTCCTCTTCCTCCATTAACTTTGCTAGGGATGCAAATACTTGTGACAGTTTTTCAACTCAGCTGTTTGCTTCATCTGTGAAGGTTATTGGGTGCTACATTACCTCTTTTGTGCCACTTGGGATGTAGATCTCCTGCTGCATTCACATTCCTGATGTGGAGCATCTCTCAGCAAGAGTGGCAACAATGAGCAGGGCAGTGTCCTCTGTGGAGCTCCAGAAATTTGATTACTGGTAGTTTCTGCAGGGCAAGGGGACACAAATCTCCTGCCTGCTGTGAGCTCAGAGATAATGGTGAGGCCAGCTGGTCACCTTTTCACTGTGCACACTGAGAGAGAGATGCTGGCCTGTGTAGAAAACACAAACCTGCAATCCCTGGCTCTAGGATTGAGGTGATTATGTGATCAGCACCATCCTGCCTAGTACCTGGAATTCAGTCAGGACTGGACCAGGTGTTGTCCCTCCAGGCACAAAAGATCACATCTATTACAGTACTAGTAGGGATGGTGGTGAGGCATGTGGTAAATAGGCCACATCAAAACTCTCTCTTTCTAAACCTATCATACCTGGATCCCCATTCCTGTACCCTAGGGTCACCTCAGAAGGCCCAAACTGTGCCCAAGTCACACAGTGGCTTGAATGCCCATGTCATTGCCACTATTATGAGCAGCTGACAATGCCTTTACAATACTGTTTCATCTAGTCATGCCATCAGCACAGAAGCCTGATTAGCAAAAAAAGGAAGGGGATTCACACTGTTCTTCTAAGGTTTACAAGTGCTGGCATGCCTTTTTTATTCCTCTGAACTTGAAATCCTGGGCACACTCACCACCTGCCTGCTTTGTTAGGCACCTCCATGGTGTTTGACAAAAGCTAGTTGCCCTCTCATTTGAAGGGAATTATTGATCTGACCCTTAAGATTCAGTACACACAGTATAGGTTGTTTCAGGTCTATTCCTTGACCTATACTTTGGGCTTACCTCAGCCCAAAGTATAGAAGAGTACTGAAAACTTTCAAGGACACCACTAACTGACCTGTTTTTGATTCCAAGCACAAGAAAAAGTCCTAGGATGGCAGTAGCCAGGCCTCTTAGTCTCAAGACCAGTACGACAAGAGCTGGATATTATCCTAAGTGCTTCCCTTGCTCTTTTAAAAGAGCAGGTCTTGATACAACCACCAAGAGCTCATGAAGAGTTGCCAAATTTGCCACCTCAAGGGGTAGTGCGATGCATTAGTTGCAAAAAGGAGGAAGCTAACTTCAAGGAGCTCAGACCTGGGACAAGTTTTTATAAATGCATAGCTGCCATTCTGCTCGCACCTTTGCTGTAAGTATGAAGCTCTACAGGATGAGGTTAAGAGCTCTGTGGCTGACTCATCTAGCAGACACAGAGCTCCTGTGGACTGTGTTGAGAGACAAACACAAGGAGTAAAGGGATTATACTGTATTGTAGGTTGAGAGCCAGTTTTGGTGGAGTGTTAATCTCCAAGAGTATCATTGCCAAAGTCACTCCTTAATGTAGCAGTTCAAGAGACAGCCTCTGTCTTAGGACCCGAGGCTAACCTATTTGATGTCACACGACAAGTAGAGCAGGTGCTGGGTTTGCAATGTATATTTGATGTCTAGTGTTGAAAAGTGAATTGATTGAAATGCTGTCAGGCTGCATTTTGAATGATTGCACTACTAATGTCACCTAGAGGCAACTTGATGGACATTCTGCCATACATAGACTACAGTAGGCTGGAAATCATCATTTGCAAATCATCACCTTTCAAAGTACAACAACCAATTCAGCTGAAAAAAAAAAAAAATAACTGGAAACATGTTGAAGAAACATTAACCTGAGGAAGTGAGCAAATCAGGAACACCAAATATTTAGGCTCATGGATTTCTCATTATGGGAATTTTCAGTCAACTGTATTTCTTTTGAGGTGTTGCATTTCAAAACCTGTGTTTTGTTTGATAATGTAATTCCACCACAGGAAATCTAATCATTTTGTCTTCTAAGGTTTTAGTGATATACATTTGGGGTTTTGTTCATTTATGGAAGTCATTTTACAAAATCTGTCACTAGATACAAAAATGGCAAAATGAGTAGTAAAAACACTGGCATATTTTTGAAAGGATATGGGGATTTAGCTAACTAATTCACATTTAGATTAATAAGAACTTAGTATTTTAATTCTATGGTTGATCCTATAAATCACAGTTTTGACTTATATTTCCTGCCCTGACACCAACCTGGGTTAGAGTTTATAAACATTCATGTCATAGGACAGAGGTAGGCAAGATTTACTTATTTCCAGTGTCAGCTCTTCTCCACAAAAATAGAATTCTGCAATTAATTTTACACCAATCTGGAGATCAGTTTTAGCAATGTGGTAAAACCATTGGCTTATAGGTGTTCTCCAAACCAACATCCCAGAAAGAGGAAGAAGCAGGACTAAGAAAACATGAGTATTTCACCACAGTCATCTACTACTGTCAGCTTTACTACTGTTAGCTAGTCAGCAATAATGCTGAAGCCTTTCAAGTACTCTCTATCAGATTTATTGAGAAATTTGGTAGGAATTTACTGTGAGTATACTTTTCTAGAAAACAGAAAACTGAGATACAGGCTAGATGTTCAACTGTTTCATTTAAAAATCCTGTGGGGTTTTTCTTCATATACCCGTGTATTTATATATATCCTCCAGGATATTATGCTTTCCTTAAGCATTACAGAACACAGCATCTCATCAAGAAGAACATTTGAATTTCTATATGAATTTGGCACTGCACCAGGGAAACTCTATTCTTTCCACTAACAAATGGGGACAGGAAGCCAT